CGGCCCGGCCGGCGCCCGCGTCCCCGTCTGGCGCTGGCCGCCACGCCCCACCACGCCCGGCGTACCCACCCTCGGGCAGCTCAGATTTCCCCGGAGACTCGACAGGCAAAGTTCTCTGTGTACCCCTCCCAGCCCTGCAGGCCGCGCACTCCCGCCCGCGGCCCCGCGGCGCGCGGTGAAGCGACCGGAGCTAGACAAGTTCCACTCCCCCCCGTCCCCCGTTCGACGTCCCTCGCCGCCGCCGCCGATCTCACCAACGACGCGACGGCGCGAGTCGCGCCGCACGGGACGAAAACAAATAAAGGGGGGGACTGGAAATAACAAACTGCATTAAATGGCTGCCGTGTTGTGACAAACTCTTTTCCGATCGGTCGCGGCGGGGGCCGCGCGGCAGAGCCGAGCCCGGCGCAGGATGATGACCTGCTGGACCCTGCATGATGTCGCGTTTTAATGGACGCCGGAGCCGTGAAATTAAACGGCGGCGACGCACCGCTGCGGCAGAATAATTGGGTGCGACACAATGTCGTGCAGGGACGCCGACCGTTATTATTTTTTTCTTCTCGTATTTTTGTTTCTTTACAAAAATTCTCGTTAGAATAATTATATTTACCCTACCATGGCCGCATAACTACACTTAGAGTGTCGAATGCTTATCTGAGCGCTAACGCTTTAGAAATTTTCTAAAAACCGTTAGGATTTGGTCGGATTACAATATATGATGTGAACTTAGTTGTTTGGCGCAGAAATAGAAAGAGAATATTTCTGAAAATTTCCGTCTTTGTGTAATAACATAGTGAAGACGGACACTCAATCAAAATCAAAACGCAAAATATGGGGGTAGAATTATTGGCATTGGACAACACACTTAAAAAGTTGTTTTTCTCTTTCTTTTCCATTTTCTTTTTTGCCTACGCGCTTTTATTTCGCGGAATGAAACAAACAATATCTGCCTGATCTCTCCAGGTGGGTAGGCGCCCGCTGAAGCCTCGGCGGACCTAAAATGAGGTCGCAGACAGACTGCACCAGGTGAGGGAGGGGGAGAGAGGGAGCAGAAAGGGAAGAGAGTGAGAGGAGAGAGAGAGAGAAAGGATTGGGGAGCAGGAGGGAGAGAAAAGGGAAGGTCTTGGGAAGGGTGGGCTTCAGTAACTGTGATCTACACTCGAAACCCTGGCGGAATTTTGCCGAGAGCTCCGGTGGGTGGAGTACCGAGTGCATAGTCAGGACCGCCGTCATTTACAATACCAGAGAAACTTCGGTGACGGAGAAGAGAGGGTAAGGGGCGACAGAGACACAGGGCGGAGGACTGCGAGGGCCAGACACTGGATATTGAGTGGAAAGGAGAAGGGGAATGGGGCGCGGTCAACAAAGTTTTTGCTAATGTTATTTGCAACTTTTCAATGGCAAAATCTGGGTCTGGGCATGCGCGCGCGCAGCTCCAGCAAGTTTCGCCGCCTCGCACTCAAACAAAAATTGCATTTAATGTCGGGTGTATATACCGCTCTCCTGGGGCGCAGACTGCGCGGAGGATGGTGAGTGAAACCGACACAGCGTTAGACAAACGAGGTCAATGAGGTATGCTGGGATGGGAAACATGCAGGAGCCGCGGAACACCACAAACATTGAATTACAGTATACGATTTTTTTTTCACCAGGAAAAAAGCGTTAAGGAGTGATAGATGTAGAGGGGAATGGAGCCTGAGACATGATAAAATTTAAGAAAGCTGTGGCTTTTGCTGCATCAGGTGTTGTGCCTGTTCTCTTCTTACCTAAGCAAAAATTGCCGAGATCCTTGTGGTTTTTTTTTTAAATATTTGAAACAGATTTGTTGTATGTCAAAGGCGGCATCTCGATTTTTACGGCGAGATTATTTTTTTAAATACATCTACCTCGTTTTCCCCGATGTTCGGTTTCATGTTAAAATAATTAGGTTCTGATTTATTTTTCAGTGCGTGTGAGTGGCGGGCGACCAGTCCATTGAGTGAGCGGGGGGGGGGGGGGGGGGGGGGTGGCGCGCTCTGCTCTAAGTGCCTCTTCAACTTGTTCCTCATAAAATATCATATTTTTAGGAAGACTGCTGGTGTTTCTGTCTGACGACGGTATATGGGAAGAGGGGGAGGGGGTCGGCAACCGTTGAGAGTAAAAACTGTTGGTTCGAAAATAGGTGAGGAGAGAGGGGCAGTAAGGGAAGGCGAGACGAGGGATTTGGAAGACCACATATTAGACAAATTCGTGATACAAGACAGGTCAATTTATGAAAGTAAAGCAAGTTAAGCGATAAATTTAAGATATCCAAACTACTAATTCGAAAGATTTTTCAGAGAAATGCGAAGGCAGTTGATGATTTGACTTATAAATATGGAAATTGAACAAAGCAGCACGCTTATCGTCTAACAATCCGCGCAAAATTACGTCGCGGGTGTCACGCGGCTGTTCTAAATACTACTACCTCCCCTTCCCTCGAGTCACGTCTCGAGTCCTGAAGGGGAAGCAGAGCCCCCCCCCTCCCCCCAACGTCATGCCTTGGGCTGCAGCGTTATCTGGACCAGACAGACATATTTCACAGGGCCGTCCATGGGGGGTGAGAAGAAGGGGGGAAGGGTGGACTGGGGGAAATGCGCTCGCCCTCTCTCTCTCCCTCTCGCACTCATCGTGCTGATTATCGTTAGGACTCTCCCAGAATGAACAACGCGCAGCCGTCCCGGCCGGAAAGAGGAGCGGGGCGGGGGCCGGCGGGCGCTATCTAGATCTAGATGTGTCAAAAATAAATGACATTAGGTGATGCATTCTATTAGTCGACTCGCCCAGCCCGCCTCCTCCCCTCCCTCCAACACGGTTGGTCGCGCGGCGACATTTTTAGAACCATCTCTCTCCTTTTCTCACACCCGCGCCCGCCCTCTCCGCCCGCCCTTCGCGGTGTTCTCTCTCCATATTAAACTGTCAGAACACGAGTGTCTTGGCGCCATTTTCGCCGATCTGGCGCCCCGATCGCTTTATACCGGCTCCGTGACGAGCATAAACAGTCCGCCTTTTCACTTCCCCCTCCACTCTCCTCGAGCGCTCTCTCTGGCCGTTTGCGCGGAGCGAGCGCCAGAGCCGCACCGGTACACCTAAATGCGCCCGAAAGCCGAAAGCAGGGGGCGAAGGCTTGGGGGGCGGACCTGTGAGGGGGGAGGGGGGCGACACTCGTGGTGAAGGGCCAATAAAGCCATCTCAAGGTGCGGCCGCAGAAGCTCCGCTGCCACCGACTTTACTGCAGCGATTCGTAAAACCCGCGCGCGAGTTTCGGCTCGGCGCTCGCGGCTCGGCTCGGACTGTTTATCTGTCTGCTCCAGTCGTCCCATCTCACTTCATTATTTAAGGCGAGATGCTCGCCGCCGCCACCGCCGCTGCTGCCTGCTGCTCCCGGGGGTCCGATTTGTCTATAGAGCGAACGCTTTTCAGTTTGTTTGCAGTCTGCTGCACAGTGCCCCGGCTGGTCCGGCTCACCTCCGGACGCACAGAAACCACTCAGGGCGTGGGCAGGGGGGGG